TGCCAGACTCCTCCCCACCGCTGACGTTCAAAGACCAAATCAGGTAATTTCATTCTCCCTGAGGCCAGGAACAGCGCAATTAATGAATAATCTATTATGCTGCTTTGTACCACACCCAGTTTGGGTTCGGTTTCAGCCACCCTGCAGCTAACCCTTGTCCTGCAATGATTCAGGGCTGGGCTGGGAAGATAGGCCTCTGGAGCCAGGCAGGAAAATCTCTGTGTCTCTGTCTCCATCTCTCTCACGCACATCAGAGAGGAGCGCGAGGTGGGAAGAGGGGCATCTGGACCACGTCTTGGCTTCTGCTTGCCATCTCCACTCCTCCTACTAATTTGATCTTGGTCAAGTCACTTCCTCTGCACCAAATGGGGACAACAGGCCTCAGGAGAGTTGTAAGGGATGGGTCAGGCAGCAAGCCATTCCACTGTCAGGCTCTGAGATATAAACTCAGTGGGGACTTCCCTGGTGGTCCAGTGGTTAAAACTTCTCCCTTCCACAGAAGGGGACATGGGTCCAATCCCTAGTCTGGAACTAAGATTCCCCATGTGCTGCACGGCACGGCCAAAAATAAAAATAAATCGATAAAAAATAAACTCAGTGGGGTGTTAAACCCAGCGATGACTAAATCTTTTTGCAGGGCAGGGAATTCACAGCACAAAGAGCCTAATCCCATGGCATCAGGCCAGCTAAGCACCCTTGGGATAGCAGCAGCAGAATGGGTGCCACCGCCTGCTTTGTGCCCTAATGGGCTGACCCGCTACGCCTAAGAAGACCTGCTATGGCTTTGATGTGGGCCCAGCTGGATGGGACCGGGCAGGATAGGACAAGTGGCGTGGGGTAAACCTGTCCCGGATCGGTGTTCTGGCCCAGCCCGTGGGTTAAGGGCCTCACAGTGCTGAAGGCCTGCTATGGTCCTCATTTTCAGGCAAGTGCCTGCTTGTGGGGAAAGTAAAACTCCTGCTCTCTGAATCGCTGAGTCCTTAAACTCATTCATGCACTGATAAACACAGGCACGCACGTGCAGTACATGCACAGACACAAACACCCAAACAGATGCACAGGTGCACACCCACCCACAGGGGTACACGAGCACGTAGGAACACCCTGATCAGTGCAGTGTTCACACACAGACTTGCACACACAGTGCACACACATTCGCACAAACTTCACCCACATATATGCATGCACAGTCCTACAACTGGGGCAAAGGGAGAGACGGCCCACCTGGCTTGGTGCCACCCACCCACTTCTGTAAGTTTCCCTCATGGCTACAAGTCTGGAAGAACCTTGGCAGTGGAGGTAAGGTGTTGGAGCCAGGTGGGGTGGGATGGGGGAGAGGAGTTCGGCACAGGGGTCGGGGAGCATGTGTTCACGCTGCTCAGAGGCTGGCCGGCCTCATCAGTGGAGGCCAATAGCCCCTTCGCCAGAGGACGTCCACTTGCTTCACTGAGACTCGTTTTCCTTTGCTGTGAAGTAGGGGCGATAATGGTCATGACACGTCCCCTTGGGGGCTGAGGTAGAATCCAGGGTGTAATGAGTGTGAAAGAGCTTTCAGCATCATTATCTGGAGCTGAGGGCTCCAGAGACAGAGCTGCACCACCTCCTAGCTGTGTGACGCCAGGAAGGTTGCTTCACTTTTCTGCCTCAACCCCTACATCTGTAACAGGGAGCAAGGTGGCACCTAAGTTCATACAGGGGAAGCGCTTGGAACGGAGCCTGGCACGTAGCAAGCACCCGAAACTAAGAGTTGTTATTGCCATGGAGGTGACTGTGAGCTCCAGAAGAGCATTGCCGAGGCCTCTTACGGCCCCTGACCCTGAACCTGGAACCAGAGCCATCCCCCAGGTGTGAAAGGAGAGCGCTGAGAGTGGCCAGAGGGGCCAGGACTGTTGATGCTGGCCAGGTCAGTTGGTTTCAGCAGGCATGACTGGCCCCCTCACCCCACAGCCCACCATGGGCACCAAGGCTGCTTTATCCCCCTCCCATGTTTTTCACTAACATCTCCCATCCTCTCCATCCCCTCTGCCCTGCTTCAGCCCAGGCGACTGTCATGATTACCTCAGCAATCAGAGGAATCCACCTAAAAGTGAAAACTGGTCCTCCTCCTCCCCTGCTATAACCCCTGCAGCAGTTCCCATTGCCCTCAGAGTCCAAGTCCTTTCACATGGCTCCTGAGGGGATCTGGGTCCTGCCTGCTTGCCCACCTCTTCCCTGCAGGCTCCTGTGCCCTGGCCACACCAAGCACAGGCAGCCATTGCCTGTCTACCATTGGTTGGGCCTGCCTGGGGCAATGTGTTAGTCAGGACAGGTAGGCTATGCTCTGTGACAAGTATCCCCACTATTTCTCTGTGGTTCACTCTCCGAGTTTAATTCTCTGTCATGCTATATGAGTCAGTTTGGGGCAAGGTGCCCTATTCACACAGTCCCTTGGGGACCCAGGAAGATGGAAGCTGCACCATCTGGAACATGTGGCCTCCTCATCCCTCCAGCCAAGGACGAGAGTTCTGGAGGGTCACCGGCAGGTCTTACACGCTTCAGCCTGGAAGTGGCACACATCACTCCCACCCACGATCCACTAGCTAGGACTAATAGTGGCTGCCTAACTGCAAGGAGGCTGGGATGTGAGGGGAGCAATGGAGTGTCTGGTGAGCATCACCGTGGGCCACAGACAGACGCCCCCCACCTCCACCCCCAACTGCTGCTCAAGGCGAGGCAGGGGTGGGGGCCCAGGAGCTGAGCCTGCTGACTTGCCCTCTACTTTCCCACCCGCAGCCCGGGCCCCAGGCAACTCCTCAGCTGCCACTAATTGCCAAGACCCCAGGGAGATCATTATCCTTGCTCTTCTTTCCTTAGATGATCCTTAGGACCTGTTTCTCTCAGGGCTCAGTGCAGAGAAAAGCTGTACTGCTCCTTAGCAAGTGCAGGCATTTATCTTACAGACAGTGAGTAGATCCCTTTCTGATTCTGTTTCCCTTGTCGAATTGACCACTAGGAAGCTCCGATGCAAAACCTCCCCCGTGTGCTGGTCCTGGCAGCACACAATCGTAGCTTGACTCCCCCTACATTTCAGGTGATCTCTTTTTGTTCCTGCATTTTCCCTCTGTCCCCATTTCCTCACCATGGCTTTTTTTATTTCCTTCTATCTGTGTTTTCTCTATTTCTGTAAGGCTGCTTACATAGTTTCTGGGATTGGATGGGCATTGTCAGGCAGTCCCTGTGTTCCGTGCCACTTCCTGTAGCTCTGGCAAATGCAGCCAGGGTTTGGGGCAAAGCTCCCTAAAGGAAGGTTGAAATGTCTGAGCTTCACAGGACAGACCTGCCGCCACGAGGCTGATGGGTACCTGGTGCTGTGTAAAGGGAGGGCACCTGGGAGCTGGGGGAAGGAAGGGTTTGGACTCATAGTGATGGGTACAAACAACAGTGGGCTGGGAAGAGCAAGCCAAGCAGAGGGAAAGGCAAGGGTGAAGGCCCAGAGGACTGGAAATGCAGGAGCAGGTACCAGGGAAGCTGTGTGGTGTGCTTTGTCTGGAAGGAGCCGTTTAGAAGATGAGCAAGAAAAAGCGAACTCTTGGGATATAGGGTGGGACCCAAGCTGAGTTTGGCCTTGATCCTGTAGGGCAGCAGTGAATGGGGAGCATCGAAGGGTGACCTAAGGTGGGGGCCGGGGAGGGAGGAATACAGCCAGGCTTGGTGTCCAGAACAATTCCTCTGGCTGCATGAGGAGCGTAGATGGGAAGGCCCAGTGGGTCAACGAGACTGAGGGGAGGGGGTTTGAACTGAGCAGCAGCAGGGCCAAGAGGAGGCCACATGGTATATATTTGGCCACTAATGAGCCCTAGACCCTCTTACAAGCCATTCATGGTCTAGCCCTGCTCACCCCTCCAGCTCGTGTTCTCCTCATTCACATCATCCAGTTTACATGTATATGTGTGTGTGTGAATATATATTTTTCTTTTTAGCATCTCCTTACTAATCTTACCAAACCACATGTAGTTTCCCAAACATTTCACGTTCGCTTCTATCTCAGGGCCCTTGCTCAGGCTGTTCCATTTGCCTGGGACACCTTCTACCCCAGCTCACCCTTTTCCAGTCTACATGGCCAACTCCTTCTCATCCTTCAAATCACAGTTCACGTGTCACTTCCTCTGGGAAGCCCTCCCTGACTGCCATATACAAACGTCCATTATTACCTATAGTACACTGGCTCCCAGTGGCCCAGACTCCGCTAATGTCCTCACTCATAGGACTCTTCACTCCTGTAAGGCTGGGCTCAGGCTTGCTCTCTCCAAACCCCCAGTGCCTGGCACAGGTGGTACTCAGTAAATATTGAGTGAACAAATACAAGGCCGGATGAGGAGAGAGGGAAGGTTAAGATGGCTGGATGATAATAGTGGTAGTAATTATTACAGTTGAGCAAGGGATCTTAGTGTATCATCTCATTTCATCCTCATGACAAGTCTATGAGACAGATACTTTCTTTATCCTCATTTTACAGGTGAGGAAACTGAGACTTCAGAAGTTAAGTCATTTGCCCACCCAGCTGGCAAGCACAGAGCTGGAACTGGAGCCTGGGCAGGCTGGCTCCAGAGGACACTATATTTCCCACTTAGCTGGGTGGGGAGGCTGGCCTGTCTGGTGAGGTGCTGGATAGGGGAGGGAACGGGGTGAGTTCTCTCTACGGTTTTTCTGCCTTTTTGTTTTCGCACACGAAGGGATGAAAGGCAAACAGGTCAGCAGTAGCTGTACGCCATCTCACCAGGTCCCTGGAAGCAGCCACAATTATAGCCTGTTCACCTGGGTGCCCTTCATAGCACGTCACTGTCCTCATAGAACTGACCACTGTCCTGGTCCTGCCCTCTTATGTCCTCTGCAGGTGAGACTCCGTCCTGCTGTCAGATTGTGAGCCTCACAGCCCTTCTGTCCCGTTTGTCTCCTGCAGATGTCATGGCACCCCCAGTACCGGAGCTCCAAGTTCCGCCATGTCTTTGGCAAACCAGCCAGCAAGGAGAACTGCTACGACTCCGTGCCCATCACCCGCAGCGTCCACGACAATCATTTCTGTGCTGTGAACCCCCACTTCATTGCAGTCGTGACTGAGTGTGCTGGTGGGGGGGCCTTCCTCGTCATCCCCTTGCACCAGGTAAGGATGCCTGCTAAGCTCAGGCCCAAATAGCTCTCTGGAGGGAGCACAGGACAGAGGGAGAGTAGAAAGAGCCTCAGTTTTGGTTCCATATGTGGGTTCAAGTCCTAGCCCTGCCTGTTACCAGCCATGTGACCATGAATAAGTCATTTCACCCCTTTGAGTCTTGGTTTTCTCATTGAAAAAGTATACCTCTCCTGGGATTTCAGCTTCTAGCAGTTGTTTAGGACTCCTAGGACCTCCCCTCCACCCCACTGCAAAGTAATTCATTCATGAATAACATTTAATTCTTAATGCATTGCCGGGCTCACAAGACATTGGGGAAATCTCCAAAGCCTCCTCCTTTCTCCAAAAAAGGAAAAAAACCTTGAGCCGAAATCTAAGTAGGAGAGGTAAGCAGCAAGTGAACAGGAAGAACAGGCTTGTCCTGCGGCAAGCGTTGACGGTGTAAGTTGGGCCTTATGCAATTGCTGATTATTGAACAGTTTTTGACCCCCAGAATGGTGGTTTCGTATAGACTAACTTAATAGCAGATCTTTTCAGAATCCTGAGTTTCTGCCTTGAGGTAGAATCTCTGAAGGGGCTAGAGGGATCCGGGCTTGGTAGTGCCTCTGGTTTGCAGCAGAAGCAGATAGAAGCTTTCTCCAGAGGAAAGCATTTCCAATGTGAACAGGATTCCCACAGATTAAGATCAGGGAAATTCATAAACTGAGAACACCAAGCATGTAAAGCCCCCGTGAGTAAGCATCTGCTGAAAGAACAAACAACAGACTTACAACCCCTTTTAGAAGTTAAGATCACAAATATAAATTGGAATCTCATAGATCAGGTTTTCTGATCCCAATGCAATTGAGTTAGAAGTCAATAACAGAGGATAAATTTTAAATGCCCATTCATTTAGAAATTGAAAAATACTTGGAAATGAATGAGAATGAAATACATCACAAAACTTATGGGATGCAGGGAAAGTGGTGCTTCAAGGGAAATTTATAGCACTAATGCTTATATTAGGCGTAAAATTAACAACTAAACATTCAACCTGAGACGTTAGAAAAAGGACAATGGAGTAAACCCAAAGAAAGTTTGAGGAAGGGGGTAATAAAGATCAGAAATCAGTGAAAAGAGCATCAAAGATCGATTAAAGAGGATCAGAAGAGCCAAGGGCTTCCCTGGTGGCGCAGTGGTTGAGAGTCCGCCTGCCGATGCGGGGGACACGGGTTCGTGCCCGGTCCGAGAGGATCCCGCGTGCCACGGAGCTGCTGGGCCCGTGAGCCATGGCCGCTGAGCCTGCGCGTCTGGAGCCTGTGGTCCGCAACGGGAGAGGCCACAGCAGTGAGAGGCCCGCGTACCGCA